AAAATTAATTTTAATAAAAGTAATTTAGTTGATTAATGAGAGAAGAAGAATTTAAAAAAAGTTATTTTAAGAGGTATGAAAAAGAATTAGAAAGGTTAAAATTAATCAATAAAATACTAGATAAACAAAATGAAGTAGATTTGTTAAAGACATGTGTTAATATTGAGAAACAAACTGAAAGCTTTTATCCTTTATTAGCTGGTACTGGAAAAGATAGAATATCTGTTCTTAATTTGGGCCAATTCCCACCCTATAAGGTTAGTTATGATTATATAATGCCTGTTGATTACATGGTTAAGAAGAAGTTTTATAAACACAAGAATTCAAAACTCAAAGCAGATAAAATCTTTTATTATATTAAAGTGAATAGTGATGGAATTATAATTGAATCAGAAGATAAAGTTAAATTTAAAGATTGGGAAACATTTTATAATTCTGTAGAAAATAACAGTAAATTAGATAATTTACCTGAATTTCTTGGTCTTAAAAACTTTCATATAGCTTCTTATATTGAAAGATTAGGAGATGTTTCTGAATATAAAGATTACGTACCTTTAAAGGTAAGAAAAATATAAAATTTATTCTTCTTCTAATAATAATTTTAGTTTTGCATTTATTATAACTTGAACTTCTTCTGGTGACATTATTAAAAACTTATTTTGATCTTTATTAACTTTTCTTTTCTTAATCTTTAATTCTAAACTATTTAAATCATTTTTCATAGAAAAAATTTTTAAAAAAATTATTATAAAGAAAGTATTTTAATAAAAATCAAACATATTCATCTTATTAAATCTAATTTTTTCTTTCATTGTAAGTAAGTCACCACTTTTTAACTCGGAATTAATAAACTTTTCTTCATTAGGATGTTTTTCAGTTTTACTTTTTCTAAATCTTTTCTGTCTTTTAACTTCATGAACAAATACAATGACATCTTTTCTATTAACTTGAATATCAGTTGTATTACTTTGTTCTAATAACTCATTTAATAGGAAATAAGGAGTGGGTTGAATAAAAGTAGAAATAAAATTAAAGAAAGGATAAAAGTACCAGGAATGTAAAAACATATAAAAACCTACAACTCTCTCAAATGACACGCCTATATTATTGGAATTTAAAATAGTTGTTACACAATTTCTACCACCAATTTCCATTATAGCTCTTCCAAATGTAGCTCCCATTCTAACACACTTGGTTTCTGTCTTATAAGCTATGAAATTATTAAGTTTAGTAAGAATCCTTTCATAATTAATCTTACTTGTATCTTCAAAATCATATTCACCTTTATATTGCTGTAATATCATACCCACTCCAATACAAGCACTTTGAACTACCAATTGTTCTGGATCATATAACATTGCC